AGAGTCGTAAAAGTTCACTGAGGCAGAGTATTCACACGTTGGCCAATACTACAGGGGTCTATTCGCAATTAACCCTAGAAACAGTTACAAAACAGTCATAACACTTGCTAACTCTTCCAACCATAATAGAAGTGTCGCCATTGTACTAAAATAGGAAAAAGATGGAGCATGCACTTGCAGCATGATATTTTCAGGAAGCAAACAATCTGTTAGAGAACTCGGGTTTCCATTATTCCATAGCTAGGCGATGAAACCAAATGGTCCCAGGTATGACCGGTCGAATCGCAGTGAAATTCCAATTAGGCTATACATATAAAACTAAAAAAAAGGGGTTAACCCTTGATTGCTTGTAATAGGGTTACGATGCCAAACCAACATAGGCACACTGTAATCAGTGATTCCGAGTATAATTACAGTTTTCAGGCGACAGATGTTTCTTGGGGATCCATTGAAACTTTGGTTGAGGGAGAGCTAGTTGAGTTAAAAATCAGGGTTTTATCGGCAGACAAATTTTGTAATAAAGTAAATAGATAGGCGGAGAGGGAGAGAAAATGGAAGAGAAGGGACCTTGGAGGATGCGGCCACGGCGACGATCGGAGAAGGACAGACGGCGGAGAGGGGCGTCGGAGAGGCTGCAAGAGGCGGCGAGGGAAAGGGAGAGGCGGCGGGCGAGAAGGGGAGTAGACGGAGAACTAGCAATGTTTTCACCGGAGAATGAGTAGAGATTACGATGATGCTGGGTTTTCAGCGCGGCGGTCTCAGTACCGCTACTTCAGTTAATGTTTGTTTTGCACGTGACTCCTCATCAATTTGTACATTACACCAAGATTCCTTTTTCTTTTTGCTTATTTTGCACTTCAATACTCTAGAGTTTCACCAGCTTGTAACTTTGACGGGGCCGACCCCGAGGTTTGGGTTGTCCTAGCTCACTCTTCCTCTGAACCTCCTCTCCTCCCGTGCCCCCGCCGCCTGGTGCCCTGGCCTGGTATGCCCCTCCTCCCTCCGTCGCCGCCCCCGCGCGGGTTGCCTCCCGCCTGGGTTGCCCCAACCCCGGGGCTTGGTGGGCTTACCCCAGGGCCGGCTCTGAATATCCTGATGACGTACAATTTGATACTTTAAAACATTGAAATTTTCTATTTTCCACTTTTATTGAATCTTTTTTAACTTTTATTGCATCTTATTAAACCTTTCGGCTGTCAATTTCATTTAAATTTATAAATATACTTGTATTAAAACCTTGGAAATTTTCAGGTCTATTTTCATTGGCTAACTACTTTTTTACTTCTCAATGTTTGCTAAATTTATAATTAAAAATATCCTTATTCTATTTTTAACATGCACTAATTATATTTTAAAATATAATTATGGTGGATTTAATAGCAAACTCAACAGACGTTAAGACTTAGAAAGTTATAAATTAGCTTGTGTGTTATAGATCGGAAAATCAACGCAAAACCCTCGTGTTTGTATGATAAAAAAGCATTAAAGTGAAACTTTTAGAAACTTTAAGTTATATAATTGCCGTAAAAAACGAGTGAGGGTACATAATCGCGCGCGAGATAGGAGAAACTGTAATGTATTTTAAGTGCTAAATAGCCATTTTTATTTAACTATGTCTTAGGCACATGCAATGCACATGGTTACATACCATTATTAAGTATGTTTTATTTATTTCCTTAATAAAATTTGTTCATCAGTTCCACTTTGATAGTTTTTGTTTCTAAACTTTAGCATTGTGATTATTTATTTTCTATGATAATTGAATTGACATGAAACAAATGCAATTGTAGGCAATAAAAATCGCCTTTAAATCCTTATCAGAGAAGTTCAGAACAAAACTGCTAAAACCTCACCCGAAATAGCGAAAAAGGGGAAAACGCAGATATCTCCCAAACCGTAAGGAATTTGGCAAAACGGAGGAAGCGAACCGAAGCCTTCGGCTTGGTTCGGATGGCTCCATCTCGTCGAGATAGGCGATTTTCATATATAATTCGTCCAATTCCGACTTACGGTTTAAAGTTACGGCCTATTCTTCAATCCATGCTCAGGAGCTCGCCTGCAACTCAAATTCGCCTGCAGTCCCAAATCCGCCTGCAGACCCAAGTCTGCCTGCGCACCTGAGCTCGCCTGCAAACCCAGTTCGCCTGCTAGCTCGCCTGCAGACCCAAGTCCGCCTGCAGTCCCAAACTCACCTGCAGACCCAGTTCGCCTGCAAGCTCGCCTGCAGACCCAAGCTGCAGACTCGCCAGCTCACTGTCAACTGCCCACTTGGAGTATGGGAACAGTTACATCAGTGGTCAAATCCCACAAATCAAGGGAGAGGGCACAATACTCCAGGCCCGTCAGATGGCCGTCCACAGTACGAATGAGCGGACAGGCGCCGAAACAGCCTGCACCCTCATAAATGCGGCTCACCTCAGTTGTCCAGGTGAAGGGACGAGAGCCGCCAACGCTCGGTGGTTGGTCAGATCCACGCAAGCATCTGACAGCCGTTGTCACGCATACGAGGAGGGGCTTTCCCACTCCTATGTAGCGTGATGCAGAGCACAGCTCTTCGAATGACCATTGACGGTACGAATGAACAGCAGGACGTCTCCGAACAACGTGTGGTCACATCCCATAATTCAAGGAGCAGTCAAGCTATCTCCCTCACCTCTATTAGTGGTCAAATCCCATGAATCAAGGGAGAGCCCATGCCATCCCTTGCCTGTTAAAACCCATCTTCAGCAGCATGAAGAAGGGGGATTGGCCGTTGCATATTCTGCTGGCTAATCTCCCAAAGGTTGAACCTGGACCTTTGCCAAAGGCTCCCTCATTTGAGAACCGAAGCTCCGGCTCCGGCATCAACTTCGATCGGATCGTCCAAGGGAAGCAGACTCGGCACGAGCACCGAGCGAGGCATCCTATCGCCACCTAAAGTCCCCACACAAAACAAAGAGGGCCTTCCCTCTGCTTCTGTTGTAAACATTTGATTTGTTAGTTTGTAATAAGCTTTCTTATAAATACAAACGAAACTCCTTTCTTCGGAAGAATCAAATTTTCACCCTACAGAAGATGGCGACCACAGTGGGAGAATCCGTTCATTCAGATGAATTGGTGGTGGCGCAGTCTGACGAAGTTGCTGCAGGGACTACTGTTGAGTCCCTTGTGATCAAATTCGAAGGGTACTTACAATCGTCCTCTTCTCGCAGCAATACATCTCGCGATGGTTGCAGAGTCGTGCGGGTGGCCCAGCCCCAAGAGGCTGAGGCAACCAAGCCTGAGGGATCTACCCAAGCCGAGGCAGGGGGTTCTTTTCCCCCCGAACCAGTTGAGGCCGAGCCGAGATTCGAGAATGCAGGTCTAGGGGCTGCTGAATGGGTCGATGAACGATCCTCGCAGACCCCTGTGCAAGAGGAATCAACCATTTGTGTCGACGCAGAATACGCCTCCGTCGTCGACATGAACGCTCCTCGTTCAAAAAGATCCAAACAGCGGCGACGAAAAGCTCTCGCTCGTCTCGAGGCGCAATCCCTCATCCCCCACGACAGCCTGAATTATTATTCAGGCTTGAGGCGAATCAACCTCTTGAGCCAGGTTCCCATTTTTGGCGAACCGCTCGAATCGGGCGAGCCTAGCAGTTTAGGCGAACCCATCTCTTTGAGCCAGGTTCCCAGCTTCGGCGAACCGCTCAAATCAGGCGAGCCTAACGGCTTAGGCAAGCCCAATCTCTTGAGCCAGGTTCCCAGTTTTGGCGAACCGCTCAAATCGGGCGAGCCTAGCAGTTTAAGCGAGCCCCACTCTGTGAGCAAGGTGCTCAATTTTGGCGAACCAAGGGCACCTGGCGAACTCTGCAGTTTAAGAGGGCTTCGTCAAACAAGCGAACTTCACCAAGCTCGCCTGACGGCCCAAGATCGCCAGAAAGGCGAAGCAACAGCTCGCCAGACAGGCGCAGGCACACTGTGCCAATCTCGCCTGACGGGCGAACCTCGCCAGCATGAACCTCGCCAACACGCTCACGCCCAAATGGGGGTGGCCACCTCGTTTGCCTGCACGGGTCTGACGTCCGTCTCTGACGACGACGACGATTGCTCAGCAGTGGCAATGTCGGAGACTTCAAGCTCAGTTCAGGGCAAGCACACAAATGTGCACATGACTGACATCCCTGAGGAGATGTCTAGGAGGCTCGACGAGCAACAAGCAACCATCGACTCCCTGAAGGAGATGTTGGAGCAGCTCCTGAGCGAGAAGAAGAGGAAGAGAGAGAGGACTTCGCGGGCTTCGCATAAATCATTGAAGCACAAAGAGCGGGTGCCTACTCCTTCTCACTCCTCATCCGAGTCATCTAGAGGAGCGTCATCTTCGGGCCATAACCCAAGAGACAAGAGGTTTGACGATCTCCAAAGTCAACTCGACGCCTTGAAGCTCCAGAAGCATGCGAACAAGCTGGGGGTTGTCAGACCGTATCCAATTGAATGGGATGCGGTCTCCTACCCGGCAAAGTTCGAGCCGCTGGACCTCCTGCAGTTCAATGGCAAGGGTTCTCCTACCCAGCACATCTACTACTTCCAGGCGCAAACTGGACACATAGTGGGAAACGATCCCATTATGACTCGACTGTTCATTGGTACCCTCAAGGAGGGCGCTTTTGAATGGTTTCGCAGATTGGCGCCTGGGTCCATCACCTGCTGGAATGACACAGAAGTATCTATGGCCACCCTGCTAACTGTGAAGCAGAGGAAGACAGAGTCTGTAAGCAGCTTTGTCAAGAGATTCAGAAACCGATCGTTGCATTCCCGCGATCGAGTTTCCGAGGCCACGCTCATCGAGATGTGCCGGAACAATCTCTCCATCAGCGTTCTGTCCAATATGGGCGCTGTTGAAGCTCGCTCATGGAAAGACTTACTCCGCCAAGGAGAACAAGTCGAGAGCATGCTCAAGCATATGGGTGACGAAGACCCGCATGAATTTCGAACCAGATGATGACCAAGATGCCTTGGTAGTGGAGACCGATCCCTCATCTCCTCCAAATTTCCCCCGTTGATCCTCTTCAACAGGACGGCGGGCCCACATAGTCGCTCTAATCGCGACAATCTTGTCAAGTTAACACTACACCTCTGACAATCTCCCGTCGATCCTCTTCAATAGGACGACGGGCCTACAAAGCTATCACGTTAACAATCACCTCTGATAGTTCTTCGACACTCCAACTGGTGCATGAGTTTAAACTGCTCCCTTAACACTCCGACAAGTACACGAGTATAAACTGCTTCTTCTGACACTCCAACTGGTGCATGAGTTTAAACTGCTCCCTTAACACTCCGACAAGTACACGAGTATAAACTGCTTCTTCTGATCCTCCAACTGGTATAAGAGGTTAAACTATTCCCCACACTTCCACTTCTTGAGCCAGGTTCCCAGTACGGGCGACCCGCTCAAATCAGGCGAGCCTAACAGTTTAGACGAGCCGAGCTTAACAGCTTAGGCGAGCCCCATCTCTTTGAGCCAGGTTCCCAGTTTCGGCGAACCGCTCAAATCAGGCGAGCTTAACAGCTTAGGCGAGCCCCATCTCTTTGAGCCAGGTTCCCAGTTTCGGCGAACCGCTCAAATCAGGCGAGCTTAACAGTTTAGGCGAGCCCATCTCTTTGAGCCAGGTTCCCAGTTTCGGCGAACCGCTCAAATCAGGCGAGCTTAACAGTTTAGGCG